CATCGCCGGTGCGGCAATGGAGGATCATTGGGGCCGTTGGAGCATCGCCGGTGTGGCAACGAAGCATCACCGGTGTTGTGTTGGAGCATTGCCGGCTCATCGAAGCTACACCGGTGCGGCAATGGAGGATCGTCGGGGCCGCTGGAGCATCACCGGTGTTGCAATGAAGCATTGCCGGCCCGTCGAAACGTCGCCGCTGCTGCAATAGAGCATCGGCGGTGCCGCAATGGAGCATCGTCAGCGGGCAGCCGGAGCATCGCCGGTGTTGCAAAAAATGCATCACCAGTGTTGTGTTGGAGCATTGCCAGCCCACTTGAGGATTGTCGGTGCTTCAAGGGGTGGTTCCAGCAGCATCGTTGTTGCAAGCCGGCGCTGCAGCCATGGCCGTGCATGCATGGTGAGCTCGTCGGCGATTTTGGTGTGGGATGACCGCTGACGCGGCTGCTGCATCCTGAGCGCTACGGCTTGTACACGTCGGCCAACTGCAGCTCCTCGCGCGGGAGCGAGGATGCACTAGGCGGTGTTAGAGAGATATAGGCTTTGTTGGGAAATAGTGTTGTTATGGTTCAGGGATCAAACGGTCCGAATTAACAGAGACCAACGGCTGGCAAGGCGGTTTAAAAAGCCCTACCATCAGCCGGTTTACGCATAGCAGTGGCCTTAGCATAATGATTGAATAAGGAATTTAGAATAAGGCCAGGATTAGTAAATTGTTTGTTGAACCTGAACTGGAATTACATGTCGCTTATTAGTTAATAATACTGTAACGAGAATAGTTTTGCCTACCCTAGAGAAACAAAAGGGCAAAGGAAAAGTCTGCCTGTACTAGTGATGTTTGTCAATCAATCATACAAATACGAGGGAAAAACCCATATATCAGTAGCAATTATTTGATGCCACCAAGAAAAGAAGCCGGGACGTACTTGCGTTTGCATATGGTGGCCGCCGCCGACCGTGCCGTTGCTCCGGCGGCTGCCAAGAGCACGGGGAGCTCTTCTGGATCTCCATGCCACGCCGGCCAACTGGCCAAGAGCCTACCTAGGTGAGTAATGGGTTATTTAGTTTGTTGCATGCCTAACTAACGAACTGAGATCTTTTAGTCCTAGGGTTACCAGGCAAGAGGCATTTGCGGCGAGGCTCCCCTTGCATGCGGAGTGCAGGATCTGGAAACAGCTTTTCGGATCTGAGAGTTTTGCTTATTTGACGGCTGCCAGGGATTCAATTTTAGGGTTTGTCTAGGACAAGTGACATCTAAGATGATGTCATGCCTTATGATAACCCTCCGTTTTGGCATTTTTGCTTTTTTTTAATCGCTTGTCGCTTGACTTATATGTGTAAAAAGAAAACTCAAATGATAAGTGCCATACGTGTGGCACGCAGTAACACCGCCCTGATATTTTTATAACTAAAATTGTCATCTGAAAAAAATTCAAAAAAAAAAACTGAAACTTGCGATCAAACAGAAAGTTATCATGCTTCACAATTAAAGTTATCATCCTTAGATAACTAAAATTGCCATCAAAAAACGTCAGAGCGAAATTGCTTCGTGCCACACGTGTGGCACTTATCAAAGTTCAAAGAAAAAGATTCACGGAAGTAAAGGGAACACGTCCACATTGTCTCCATGCGTGGCCGAACGCATGCGGGCTGGCTGGGCACCGCCAGCGCAAGCCACGCAAGCTTTTCTTTTATGACACTAGCCACACAATGCATTTCCTATTTGGCGCCCGTTAATGGCAGAAATGTTACAGGGCGCACACCCTGCTTCGCGCTGGGTCGGACCATTTAATATATTTTCATATTTTTACCCTTCAAAAGAAAAGTTAATAATTATTTCTTTTCTGTTAAACTTTAAAAAACGAATAAAAATGTGCGCCCGCTGGTTTCAAACTCGAGACCTCTCGAGTCAGAGCATACCACTGTAACCACTATGCCATACCGATAGAACTAGATCATAAAGGCGTGCGTTGTTGTGCCCTGCCCACCTTAGAGACATATTTACGGAAGAATAAGACATCTTAATGCAAGATATTGGACTATTTGGTGTAAGATGATAAGCGTTCCCTACCCCTCGAGGGGGAGTCGCGGGCTGTATATATTGATGTGCCGAAGCCAAGCCTTGGCGTACAAGGAAGGTTTACAAGAGTTTGAGTAGAACAAGTAAAGGAAAGAGTTGGAGGCTGCTACGGAAACTATATTCGCTAACACCCTCCCTTAATCTTAACTACCCTAGATTAAGATTACTCTTGAACTCCTCAAACGGTCTTGCTGGTAAAGCCTTTGTAAAGCCGTCGCCACTTGATCCTTAGAGGGAATAAACCGTATCTCAAGTTTCTTTGCTGCAACCCTCTCTCGCACAAAGTGAAAATCAATTTCTATGTGCTTTGTTCTTGCATGAAACACAGGGTTTGCAGACAAGTATGTTGCTCCCAAGTTATCACACCATAAACATGAGATACGATTTTTCTTGATCCCCAATTCCTCAAGAAGTGATTCAACCCAAATGATTTCAGCAGTTGCATTCGCCAAGGACCTGTATTCAGCTTCTGTGCTTGATCGTGACACAGTTGCTTGCTTTCTAGCACTCCAAGAAATAAGATTGGACCCAAAGAACACTGCAAAACCTCCAGTTGATCTTCTATCATCACTGCATCCTGCCCAGTCAGCATCAGAGAATGCACTCACAAGAGAGGAGCCAAAACGTTTGAAGTGAAGTCCTGTTCCCATAGTATGCTTCACATATCTTACAATTCTCTTGACAGCTGACCAATGTGCGGAAGTGGGAGCATGAAG